CCGGGGGGGGGGAGGGGGGCGGTATGTTCTTAAGTTTCAAAATTTCACAAGGCTTATTGAAAAAAACAAATTTGAGTTATACATGAGTTTTGGTCCTTGTTTTTAGTCAAGATTTAAATTATATCGCTCCCTTTACGTTGTTACGTGTTATTTTTCATAGAAAATTAGAAAATGATTTTGAATTTGTTGGGATGATTTTGGATATCTATTATGGTCAAATTCAATGATTTATGATCATTGGTCAATCTATTTTTTTTTTTTTATGAAATATTAGTGTTAATTAAGGTACAGAATGAGGCTATTGTATAATTTTAATCAGATTCCTAATTTTGCACTGGTGGCTTAATGACATTATACATCATGTCTTTTGGCATTCTTTTTTTCATTTTGAACCACATATTTTTTTTACCGCTATACTGTTGTCTCCCTAAATTGCCAAAAAGCAATGTTATAACCTTTGATATTTTTTGTTTGTTCAAATTGTAAAGATTTTTGATATTTTTTTAGAAAGAGAAATGTGCCATTTTGATTTAGTTGATACATGATTCCCTTTTTATCATTATGAATAACTGTATCATCAGGTAAATTTCAGCCATGTGTATCACTTTTCAGAATTAAAATCTCTAATTGATCTTTTGGCAATTCAATATGAAATCATGGTTTCAGCTGTTATCCAGACTGGTATTATCATTCTCGTGTGTCATGTCATGTCTATGACATCTTGTTATCGTTAATATCTTCCCAATTGTTTGGGAACTGAACATCATATTCTAATTTTGAAAAGTGGTACAGATGGGTGAAAATAAGCTTGTTAAGCATATGTTTAGATACTAAATAAAGTCTTGTACAGATGGTATTTTTTATGAGATTGGTCAGTGGTGTACAGTTCAACTCATTATTATTGGCCAGCCCCTGTATACATGTTTAAATTGTATAAAATGTGCAAAATATAAATATTGAGAATTGTTCATGGGTACACAACTGCAAGTTTAATAAACAGGGTATAAATCGACAATAACTGTTAATGCACAATGAATAAAGACCACATAGTTTTTTAACTTTGTCAATATTTATTGTTTTTTTCTTTTCTATTTTACCATTTATTATAGTGCTTTTGATATTGAAAGAATAAAGATCTTAAATTATTTATAATTTTTAAATTGAAATGGTTTTTTGTGTGTTTTTGTTACATTTATGTCTAAAAAATGTTAGTGCTTTTTATTAAAAAAAAAATTCAACTACCCTCACTTGTTAATATCAATGAAAGCACAGCGTGTTTTTGTCTTTTTTTTACATTTATTATATATATTTGTTCATGTTTTATACAGAATGGCATTTAATTTAATTTTTTTTTTACTATATTTGTAATAATTGTATATTGTATTTAGTAGTGTCCAAAATATAAGTCAGTTTTCTACTCTATCTCTTATTTCATTGTTAGATCTCATTTGTTAACATATCTTGTCTATATTGTGATGCAAACTACTTGCCCTTACACCATAGCGATTGCCAGTTACGTATGTTTGCGAATGTTTGAATAGTGCTCATAAGTTTTGAGGTGTGAGTTGCCTTAACAACTCATAACAACTTTCATTATTCACAACCATATTCAACTGGTGTGAGGTATGTTTAGCCTTTTTTTTAAATAAAGCTACTGGAATTTGTTTTTATATAGGGCAAGAATTGTTTCTATAAACAAGAATATATCTGAACACAGTTAAAGATGGTTCCCTTGTTTACATTTATGAAAATGCTAATATTTATATCAATAGAAAGTAGAAGTGTTCTAATGCTTGGAAAAGTACCGGTTTTTCTTACATGTCCATAAAAAAATTGTGACTGATCAAGTAAGGTCAAAAAATCTTTTTTGCTTATCCAGACTGTACATACAGTTAAATTTCTTATTGGTTAAAACTCTTAATTATATGCCATAAGAACATAATGATATGATTATGAATACATAATAATTCATTAGAAACACCAATTAATCTAATAGTTTGGTTAATTTGACACTAAAATTTAAGGAAATCCATCTTTAATGTCTATATTTTGGTAAGGGTATATAGCTGAATGAAATTAAGAATGAATACTTGAAAAATTTTCACTGAATAGCTAACTTTCAAAAGTTAACTGAAAACTTCTGTATTTTATTAGTGTCATGCTGAATTTGTAATTGAACTTTGTTCTTTGATCCATGGTCTCTTTTGAAAATAGATATCATACATTTTTAATATTTATTCATATTTTCATTATCAATAATATAAGATGATAAGATAGAAAACTGACTTATGATGTTAATATAGATATAAACTTGTTAGTTAGTAGATAGTTCTATATAATACATATTATTACAATGTATAGAGATATGAAACAGAAATAGTAATTCATCATAGTCTTTAGTTTAGTACTTTTGGTACTTCATTTTAAAAACTTAGTCATACAAAATGTGCAATGGAATTCAGCAGTCTTTTTTATTACGACAATGTTGTGCTTCTTTTATAGTTTGACAGCAACCAATCAAATTCAATCTGAATCTAATTGGTCAAGGTTTTTATTGTTTTGATTGGCTCCAACTTCTAAAGTAACGCTTTAGTTTTGTTTTCTCTGAAACTGACATATTTTCAGGAAAAAATTCAGTCTAAATTCCTATTTGATATTTGGTCAAAATATTATTTGATGTTCAAATTTAACTATGTTTTTTTCCATGAATAGTTTCAGAAACTTTTTATAGAAATTTGTGCAAATTTGTAGTTTAGAAAGAACTAACCAAAATTATCACTGGTATATTTTAGATGTTTCCCCATTTCATATTCTACTACTTAACTTTCTGTTTCACATCTCTTAACTATGAGTGTATCCATTCTGTATTTTTTTTATTAAAATAAATCCCTTGATTTTTACTTTGTTTTTTCTATTTCTGAGAACAGTGACGTATTTAGGGAGTTGACCAATCCCCTCTCTCTCAGGCCTGTGAAAGGGCAATTTTGAAATGAATATTAAGCCCTCTCAAACTTCATCTCAGGCTGTCAAAAATCTGTTGATTTCTGGGGGCCTGTGGTTCAATTATGTATCGTTGATAAATGGTTTATATTAATCAAAACATTTAATGACACGTTGCTTTCTTTTTTTTACGTTTCCAACAAAGGGTCTAGAATGAGTGACTTGGCTGATATTTCACTAGAAAGATTTCAGGGCCCACTTTGATTGGACAATATTTAGCTTAGTATATGTCATTTCCCTCACTTGTATAACAATGACGATTGGAGGTGTGGCTTGGAGGTGTGGCTTGGACACGATGGTATACATCTTTCCTAATTATGCTATAAATAGGTTTGGATGATCCATGAGAGATCAATTCCAAGAGATATGGGCAAGGAGCTGTTTGTCGACAGAGAGAATTACAGACACTACATGATGATATGTTTAAAATTAGTTTAATATAAGTAATCAAATTTAGCAACAGACAATAACAATATGATCAATTTACATTAATTACATAAACATTATGCCTATTACATAAGTCAAATATGAATTCTACCCTAATCAGATTGTTGATTTTTAAAGGGGCAAACCCATGATTAAGTCTAATAACCCCAGGTATGATTGCTGTTTCAGCTATTAATTCTCAACAAAATGTAATTTTAAAAAAATGTGTCATACAATCCTTATAGGTGTACTTGAGCAAGGAATGTATGATTGCATGATCATTTTCGGATTGACATTTTTTGTATGTTTATAAATACATGGAACTGTCCCTTTAAGTCGTCTAATAAGTGGTTTTAATGATTTCTATGCAAACAGAAAAAAATGAATTTTACAAAGAATTAAAACTATTTTGATTTGATAAAAAGAATAGAATACAAAACACTGCAAATGAAATGCACATACTGTATCTATATACTAAAAATTCACCGATTAATAAAGGTATTATATATTTTGCCCTCAACAAAGTATGTAAGAATACAACCACTTTACATATACTTTACCTATGTCATCTCTACGAATATACAACCAATTTACACTTGACAGTTTATAGGAGAAAACATTAGCTCTATGTTACCAACACCTTATATCACAAATTAATATTGGTCACAAATATACATAATATCATAAAATAATCATAAATATAATTTACACTACAATTCTTAGATCATGTTCAAACTATGGTCATTTTAAACATGTACAATTGTTATTGTCAACAGATATTTTAAGATTTTTCCCTGCATATTATTTTATTATTGCCAAATGTCATTTTCCAAAACTTTAACATACAATAAATTAAGATTTCAGGATTCTCTGAAGTTGTAGCTTTGGAACTGTTTTTGTAAATAAAACTAATGTTGTAGTTGTATTATTACTTGGCTTTTTAATTACAACATATCTTTTTTACAATTTTGGTAAAGTATGAATGAAATGGTGTTAAAATTTGGATACAATAGTTTGAATATAAGCTAAAACACTATCATTAAATAATACCTCATTTAAACACACACATTTTTTTTCTTAATACAATAGATATCTAGAAATATTAAAATAGTAGATACCTATATATAGATGTCTTTCTGGATCAAATCAGCTACTTTCACTTGTTTTCTGATTTTAAAGATGGCTGTTCTTATTAATTTTAAATTTCTATATTCATTCAAAATTTGGGAATTATCCTACTTTTATTTTTGTGGTTAATGTTCATAATAAAATTGAAAATATACTATGTTACAAATTGAAACGAGAAATATAGCAACGTTGATTTTAACCAATGAGATCTAGAAGTTCCATTGTTATAATTCTTGAACAAATAAAACATGTCTGGTGGGACACATATCTTGGACAAATCTTCTTGTTAAAAGTGTTACAAGTGTAGTTATATCAACTACATTTGTGTAAAAACTTGGAGTATATTGGACCTATTTTATATGCCTGATACTTTACTAAAATTATAAGAAACGTTGCGATTGATACTAGTAATATTGATTGGTAAGTTAAAGGCCAATATTCACTGTTTCAAGGACTTGATTTGGGTCTTGAATATATGTACATATTTTTCTTAAGTACTAGAACTGCACGAAAATTGCATAATTCCTTCAAAAATACCTCAAACTAGAAATTCTTTTTATATGTATGGATGAGTCTCAAGTAAATACGTTGATAATTCTGGACACACATGGATTTGAAGGCTCAAATTTCTACATTGAGCCTTTAACACTATTACTAATTAGCTTTGCTAAAATATTCCTGTTTCGTGTCTCTTTAAAGTAGAAAAAACGCAAGGTCTTTATGAATCTGGCATAAGTTAAAAATTAAGTTAAAAAATCTTAGTTTGGATTCACAGGCGTTAAGTTTTCATTGTATTATTTGGTTTGTCACATCATTTCTTCAAAAACCACTTAAAATATACTGGATGATTTAAAATAAAAATGCTAAGCAAAAAAATAATAAGCTTGATATCTTAAAAAAAAAAGCCGTCAGAAATGACAAGTACTCAATTAAATTACTTTTTTAAGTTGTTAAGTGACAAATATTTTTCATTAAATTATAAACCAAAATTGCCAAAGAAACCACCACAATATCAGTTTTTGGAACCAAATAATGATAGAATAATAAGAAATATATAAACAACATCAACATAAAGTTGTAAAGCTCCATAAATATACTCTTCTGGTGACAGTTCATGTTTTCTTCCACCAATTATCATCTGAGTATCATATATCAAAAACTGAAATAATTCAATTTGATTTGTTTGAAACATATAAAGACACATCTACTCTCAGGAAATTCTTAAATGAAGTTTTACACCTACTTCTCTGCACCTGAGACTGCAATATGCTTGTAAAAATGGTTCTAGCTTGTATCACTGACAAGGGGAAACCTGATTTAAAAATCTGAGGGTAGTATCTCGCCCTTGCCAGGATTAAACCCTGAATCTTCAAGTTATCAATCAAGCCTCCTGAAGGCACTCACTGAATCATCAAAGATCCAAACAAAAATATCTTAAATGGGGTAGGAGTTATCTGGACATCTGTGCTTAATATAATAGTACAAGTTACTAATGTACAGAAATAAAAGATTAACTTACCAATCCAAATACCAAAGCTGCTAAAGAGGCATAAACAATATCCAAAATCTACAACAGATACAAAAAAATACTACAAAAAATACAGAGATATATTATCATGTACCTACATGTAATCACACAAAATGTGTTAAAAATAACACATCACAAAATTGATGTTGGTCATGCTCATTTTTCCAAAAAATCTTACCCTGTTGTAACCAAAAGCAAATCTCATGATAATTGTCAGGAACCCAAATAACATCAATACCATTACCAATACAAACAGTAGACCACTACATAGTGTAAAATCAATCTGAAATATCAAAATCAATCATGTAATTGTTCTGGCATTTAATTATCTTCTGAATTCAATGATTTCTAGCTGTTTATGAAGCTCAAACTGAGAAGATAGTGAGTTGATCATATAAATATAAATTCATAAAACCAGGTAATTGTTGTTAAAACTACAAGTAATTATTTAACATTTAAGAGCTTTTGCCAATAATTACTTTATATGGATTTATTGTTATATACAGGGATTGTTTTGTATAGTTATGACACCTGGTGAATTGATCATGAACACATTCTCTTGTTGACCAGGTCTGAGATATTAAATTTTATATCAATCCTAGACGTAGTATGAATTTTAGCTCTAAAGAGGGTTTTACATCCAGCCCAGCAATAGAAAATCTTTTGTCAATCAAGAAATTTCTGATCAACATGACCTTTGACTAAAATGCCAAGTTTCAAGTGATCAATAGTTACCTTGGTTTGAATAGCAAAGATTGAAATAGCCAAGCATACAGCAGCAGTAATACCCAGAGCCATCAACACAATATTCGTATCATAGAAACTGAAAGTAAATAAATAGTGATATTTTATACCATCAAGTTAACATGGGGCAAATGAAATATGGTATACATTATATACAATCAGATATATTTCAAATAAACTGTTTATATTCTGAGTAAAAAGTAGGTGGAAAGAAATTTCTACAGATCCTGTAAATATCAGAACCTTTGCAGATAAATAGAGAAAATATTCAACTTACCTGCTGATCATTCCAGTCATAAAGGAAAATGCTAAAGTCTGAAATCAAAACATTTAACATCAAAAAAGAGATATTATGTTTATTTCCAACATCAAAGGATAAGCACAAAAAAGTTGTAATCTAATGCCTCCTTCCAGATACTAGCAGAAATAGTATGAAAAGAATTGAAAAATAATTGTTTGGATTAATCAAATCCATCTAGGCAGTTTTCTTTAGTGTCTAGTTAACCGAGACTTATCATAAATATTGAAATAGACTCAGATAACTAGACTCTTTATTTTTGCTCTCTCCAATGTCACCTGTAATATTGCTAAATAATTGATGCATTTCAATATGATGGAAATTACTTCAAAATCCCTATATGTTGTGTAGAATAACATTGTTCTCTTTTCTCTCATTAGTCCTATATGGACTGAGCTTCAAGTTACACAACTTAAAAACAAAAACAATAAACTGACACTATCAAAAATATTTTCTACTTACAAAAATACCCAAACAAATAAAGTTTCCAGGATACTTTCTCCTAAAAGCATAAAATTAATTGTTTATCAAGGGCAGTAACTGAGAATGCAATTAACTGTAAATAAACAAGAAGTATAATGTGACAATTTGAGTTTTATCCACTCTGAAGACAAAGATAAGCACTGTATCAGTATCAGAGGTTTTTCTCAAATTGTTGCAAATTAAGGGGTGACTATCTTCACAATCACAAAAAATGCCTTGAATTTTCTATATCCCAACTCTTGTAAAATAAACTGGACTGATCTACCAATACATGATTGCAACCAATATATCTCTTGGTCTGAGATTTTTTTTAACAATTTGTATCTTTACCTGACACTTGGGCAGCAAACCAATGCAAAATATGTCACTAAAAATGTACCACTGAAAAAAAAATGATGAAATATTATTGTTTTGTCCGAATAAAATTTCATTTAGGCCTTTTTTTTTTGCATAAATCAGTACATTTTGAAAGGAAATAGAAATTGTTAAGACACTTTAATTAATATTTTTTAAAAACTTACTATGATACCCAATACATCCAAAATCCTGGACCCTGAATCCATCTTTTAATACTATCCCTATAATAATAAAAAAAACAATCTTAAACCCCAACATAGAATACAGAAACAATGCAATTTCTTGATATTATAGAATGCATCATTTATAGAAAAAACATAAATCATCATGTTTACAGTTGTTTTGTTGAGTCAAATTGATGCTTAATACTTACACAAAAAGGAATAAACAAACAAAACCAACTGTTACCAATAACTGACTCATAAGTATGAGATATACCTACAAATATAAAACATTGGTACTGTTAAATATTGTATAATAAATTGTGGATGTAACAGGTCAGTTCAGGTTAACACTGTGACCTGCTGCCATCAACTTTTCTGAGGCATGATGGAGTATTCTCATTCATAAACCCTCACTGCAAGTGTAACGATGGACAGTGAGAAAATTTAGTATATTTTCATATATTTGCCTGGGGCTGACAGAGAGTTGGGACCACTGGAATTGGTCCGCAGGCTAGGGTCTATATAATTTTGAAATATTTTTTTTTTGGTCTCTTTCAATTTATTGAAATACATTCTAACCCGAATCAGTTGAGAAAATCGAGTATAATCCGGGCCAGATCTGCTTAGTCCACTACTGACCACTGACCTATATGTTAATCAGCAATTACTTAGATAGCACAATTTGAAAATGAAAGAATACACACCTTTTTAATAAAGCCTCTTCTAACAGCTTTATCAGAGAATGAAGCCATATTGTTACCATCTTCAAAATTACCTCCACTACTGCTCGAGTCATTATTATCTACATTAGCAAAATATTGAGCTGGCATTTTAGGTAGAGGCATAGGCATACCAGGTGGTCCACCAAATCCCATATCTGAAGAACAAACAAAACTTAATCGTAAGAAAATTAAGAAATAAAAACATGATCAATTCTAATGTCTACAATAAGCAACCTTATATTCCATTGTAAATTTGGATTGGATATTATATTGTTGAATTTGGATGAATAAGCTTAATCAATGAAATCAACATCATAGATGACAAGATTTCTTAAACTTAAAGGCAACAAATAAATATCATGCTTTCTGCTGTTTGATGTTTAAAATGTCACCTGTTGGTCTGGACAGATGTATGAATATCTATGATCCATGCTACAGACAAAAATTTTCCTGTTTGGGTAGTTTGAGATTGTTGAGTTATTGATGTTTTAAATCTATGAAAGGACAAGGGTCTTTACTTTGTAACTTGTTGCATTAATTTACTTACTTTGTTGAGGTGCATTCTGTTGCTGAAATTTTTGTTCTTCTGCAGGTGCAGTGGCTTGATTATAAGTTGGAGGGGGTGGAACAGAACCTGGGGGTCCATACCCTTGATTAGTGAACCCTTGATGTGGATAACCTTGATTGACTGGAGGGTAACGAGAATCCATTGGTGGATAAGGCTGGTTTGGAGGTGGATTAAAAGCTGCCATGTCACCAGTTTACTGAAATAATATATAATGTAGTTAATACATATTTTACAGTAGGTGGAACATGTGATATAAATATGCAAATGATATTCTAGCACATAATACATTTTGATATAACAAAAATATTGAGGCTTTAAAGTGAGTGGGCCATATTTTTTACCAATTGCATGTTAGTCTCAGAAATAGCCAATTAGTAATAGTGTTTACAGCTCACTGTTGAAATTTGAGCCTTAAATCCATGTGTGTTTAAAATTATCCACATTCACATTACGTTAAAAGACAAGTCGTCTTTTCTTGAGACACTACCATATATAGAAATTACTAGTTAGAGATAATTTTGAAGGAATTCATACATTTCTAGTACTTTTGAAGACTCATTACATATTGAGCATTCAACATTCTAATCAAGCTCCACAAATCGCACATCTGTCCCTTTAAAAACAGTGCCAGTCACATTTGACTCTCGATCAGATGTGGTTTTCAGCTTGTAAGACATGGTGTTGTGGATGTGAAGAAGATTTCATTTGTTTAAACAGGTTTTTTTTTTTATTGGTCATAAATAGACATTAATGGTCGTCATTTAATGATATCATTCCTTTGATGTAATTGTAAAAAGAATTAAATCAATGAATGGTTTATACTTATTATAAATCTTGTTATATATAAATTTATGTGTAGTATGGTGTTATATGTATGACTTCTATATATTTTGCAGCTTAAAAATTTGTTTAAGCTTCTAGAATAAATCTACCCTATCATTAATAATAATTGTGTGCATTTTATGACCTTACAGACACAGTTCTTGCACCCTGTAGAACCAAAACAATTTTAGATCATTTAAATTATCTTTAATATACTAGTATGAATTTGTGACATAATCACAAAGAGGAAATAACATACGGTATATCAGGTTTTGAATTACTAAGTCTAGGATAAACATTGTGGGTGTGGCTTCTTTCCTCTTAACATACAGAACTACCCTATATAGCTACCAATAAGTATGAAATAAAAATATTCAGTCACATTGACTTTTTTTATAAGTTACATATGGAATTTGATCAACCAATACCATAACAGTTTAGACTACTAATTCATTATAACCTGCTCTTATCTTATAAAATGTAACTTTCTTATCATAATACAAACACAAAATAAACCATTTACCTTATTACTACTGCAAGTGTCAGCTTGAACTTCTTATAAGGTTATCAAATGAATAAAATACTGGTATGGTATTAAGAATTTTCAAAACAATTGAACACTTCAATCTCTGCCTAAAACTATCTAATCTTTTTCTTTATCTCATATAAGCTTAGTAATCCCTTGTCTAATTTCTAAATTTTCATACAAGTCCACACATAAACCTACTTGTTTTCATAAACCTACTTGTTTTCATTTTCAATCACATAAAAGATAAGAGTATGGAAGTATGCATCCATTAACATTGCATAATTTGAAATACTTATTTGGAACCAGAATTGATGCTGAAAAACATTTTTTTTTTTGCAAAGGTTATAAGAAATTGAAATTTAATGGGATTGAATCACAATGGACATATTTTTTAAGAACTTCCACTTTACAGTGATACTACGTTTTAAAATTAACATAAAATTTAAGAATTTTAAACTTGGTGAATAAGAGCCAGTAGATATACCTGGTGTCATAAATAATATAACAGAATCATATATAATCCAATAAATCCAAAAAACTTAGTAATTATCCATAAATATTCAATAAACTATTGAAAAACGCTTAAAATCAAGATTAAGTGTTTTTCAATAATTTCTTAGTTTTATGAATTTTCCAATTTTCCAGATTTTACAGGGATTCTGTTGTAACTTTATGACACACTGATGAATATATACTCATGTTGACCATTTCGAGAACCTAAATTTCATGTTCATTCTAAGACGTAGTATCAATTTAAGTTAAGCTTATCTTATACATTTATAAATGAAATAACTTTAACATATTTTGGCAAATCAATACACCTGTAATCTTACTGTAAGTTTTTCCTCAGTTCTATATAAGCTGCTTATTCTTCACATCAATACATGACAAAATAGATGATCAAACTTCAAAATTCTTTTATTACTTTCATTATGTTATATTTAACAATAATTGTTATAATAGAGGGTTGGTGGTTGTTTTGATTATCAATTTATTTTGATTTAAATCAAAATTAAAAAATTTTTTTTTTTGATTATATACTGGTACTGTAGAAACGTCTTAAAATGCTTTTTCTTTAACCAAAATGTGTCAACTAGCTCCTCTACATTATAATGTTATGGCAAAGATGCAAACTCTCTCTGTAATTCAACTGAAATATAGGTTAGATTTTAAAATCATTAGAGAAAATAATATATATTGTTGTCTTTCTGATCGGTTCAAGGGACCTGTGGTGGCTCATTGAGTACAGTGCTTCCTCGCTAACCATGAGGTCATGGGTTCAATCCCCTGTTGGGAAAAGATTTTCCAATCTTCCCTTAATCAAGGGCGCAGACAAATACAAAGTGGCAGATTTGAGTTATTACCAATCATCACAATTCTTTATTGGCCAAATTTCCTTAAAATCCCTAGCTGTAATCGGAATTCCAAATGTAGTCCAACGATCAACTAGCTAATTCAGTGTCAGCAGAAAAAGTCTATGGAACACAATGTGGGCCATATTCTTATGTTGTTTCAATGACTTTCAGCAATTAATCACGCTACGTATCTTATTTTGTCAGTCACAATTTTTTTTTCTAATCATTGTTTTTAGAAGGAATTGTCACTAGTTATAATGAATTGATATTAAAGATAAATACTAAGAGAAGTTAGTTATACCACTGAGTATCCATACAATGTGCTATTCTTATTTATAGATCAAACATGGTACACGAAAATAGGTGACGCATTTTTTGTCAAGTTGGTTACTCATGAAATATTGGTCAAAGTGAGGGATTCATAAAGAAAATCGAAACAAACCAATTTGAATTATTTTTTAGAATATCTGAGGAAACATCTAAGACATAAAAAATTGTTTGTTTGTATAACTTTGACGAAATTAGGTGTTGAATCCTTATATGCACCGAAATTATCTATTGAGATAAGCAAACAACAAAAATGAAAAAATAATTAATTTTCACTAGAAAATTCTAGAAACTATTGTTATTCATTAAGCTCGCTAAGATGATATCTTACCAGTACTATAAGAGTCTTTCAATATCCTAATAATGATGAGTTATGTGTACATTAATTAGAAAATAACTTCAAACGCTTCGAAGAAAAATGGTTTCGCAATCTTTCTGTTATTTTCCAATGTTTTGGTTCCGGCTGACATTAGAGGCCTTGACCTTCATTAAAAGCGCCACCAAGGACAAGGGAAGATAATCAAGACTAGACTATTACCACAACTAACTTAGTAAACTTCTTCGAAGATGAGGGTCTGATAACTAACAAAGTAAACTCTTTCCAGATCCTACCGATTTGTGGATATGGTACGCGCAACGAAGTTCTCTAACGTGGCAGTGGAAAAACTCAGTCGGTAGCGAGTTGGATTCGTTTGGCTAATCGTACCCTTAGGCCTATACCCCTATCCGTATCGCACTGCAAGAAATGGATTAATAAAGTACACGAATTGTGTAGGAAAAGAATGAATATATATCGGAAGAGGAAACAGATAATGCTTTTGTTTTTATTCATCTTAAATTTTAGTATCGCCTCACACATCGAGCATGCAGCGAATTTCATCGTTGCTCCAATCAATCCTCGAAAATGGCGAACCTGCACCCTTTAAAAGGACCATTTTTTTACTTCTAGGCTACCACAGCTTTCCGAAATTGACGTGAACAGGTTCTATCTTTCATGTTAATGAAAAACTTAGTTGTAAAAGTAAAAATACCATCTACCTTGTACGAGTTGTATCGAACAATAGGTTGGAGAGATCAAGAATTCGTTAAAGGTTCGATTCAATCACCACAAAACTGACATCAATCTTTAAAATTAATAAAACGGTATCAAAACACTTTAATCAATTCGATCATCAGTTAAACAGACCTATTGAGCAGCTGTATAAACAATCATATATAGATGCTAAGAAAAACCGATTAATTCGCTAAAAACTCTTGGATTAACACGTTACAAACAATGCACCCCTTTGGAATGAATAGACTTTCAAATTGTAACCGGGCTGAACTTAACATAGACATTCAACTAGCATACAGATTTCGGTCGAATCGGGTCGAATCGTCTCAGCATACACATTCGCGGCATAATCGAAATTCATACCATACTATCTTACACGGGTCCTGATTCGAAATATCAAATCACTAAGTCTCCCTTACTTTTTGTACGGAGGTCCATTAAAGACAGGTAGGTAGGTAGATGACAAGTTAACGTTCGCTTCCAGCGGATGCTGATATCGCAAACTAGGTAGTTGTTGGTAGTCGTAGTAGGTGGTAGTTGGATTGGTTCAAATTGGATGATTCTATGTTGTTGGTTTGGTTGTTGATTCTTCGTTAGATCTGGTCGGGTCGAATGACATGGCGGTGAAACTCGGCCCTGGATGGTGTGGCGTGAGTTACTCGATCTCCTTCATCCTTCCAAACTCGTTCTGATCATGGTATTTCTTGTTGATTGGTAGTCATTAGTGAAAATAGCATAACACTGTTGTATTTTAAGAAATAATTTTTGTTTAAGTGTCAGAACTTGGGTATTGCATGCAAAATTTCTGTTGCGTGAAAGAAATTTTCACTTGAAACATTTGTCATAGAACATTTTACAATTGACTTAGACAAATGTGCATTGTCTTTAGCCTAATTAGGCCTATGACTGTTTTTCCCTTCCATTGACTTAATTTTTTTAAGGCCATGAAACGAATGCAATAAGAACATTTAAAATCGAAACAGTCCCCAGTTGATATAAATTTCAGAACTTAAAAAGTTAAACGTTGAGAAAATGTAATTAGATTTGGCATCATTTGCATCTACCCAACGCTTCATAGAATCGTTCAAAGCTCGAAATTGTGCTTTAAATGTTTTGAGTTGTAACTGAGAAGGGTAAGGATAGTAATAGATACAAGAAGATATACTAATTGATAGAGATTGTCTATGTAAATGAACACAGCAATTCACACTCTCGTGCAGTTATATTACTCAAAATGTATGATGAAAAGCCAATTGCTGCTGTAAATTATATGAGGAACAATGGCATGTTCACGTTGTTGGGAGGTTAAACGTGCCATGCGCTTGCTGTCTTCACAGCAATTGAATTCTCAGTCGGCGTCAGTTTGTTTTTATACAGAACTCTGATACATATTGCACGTGCATTTCGATTTTCCTCCACATCACTTACAACTTGCTCCCACGGACATCTGACAGTTACCAAGGTTCACAACTCCTAAATCGAACGCAACCGATATTATCAGTTGAAACTTGAATGTCATAAAGTGGGCTATTTAAAGTCTGGTTGTGTTTTGACAGACATATAATACAGGTGTTTTATATAACTGTGTTTTTACATTCCTATAATATAGGTGTTAAATATGGTTGTGTTTTGACAGACATATAATACAGGTGTTTTATATAACTGTGTTCTTACATTCCTATAATATAGGTGTTAAATATGGTTGTGTTTTGACAGACATATAATACAGGTGTTTTATATAACTGTGTTCTTACATTCCTATAATATAGGTGTTAAATATGGTTGTGTTTTGACAGACATATAATACAGGTGTTTTATATAACTGTGTTCTTACATTCCTATAATATAGGTGTTAAATATGGTTGTGTTTTGACAGACATATAATACAGGTGTTTTATATAACTGTGTTCTTACATTCCTATAATATAGGTGTTTAATATGGTTGTGTTTTGACAGACATATAATACAGGTGTTTTATATAACTGTGTTCTTACATTCCTATAATATAGGTGTTTAATATGGTTGTGTTTTGACAGACATATAATACAGGTGTTTTATATAACTGTGTTCTTACATTCCTATAATATAGGTGTTTAATTTTTATGTTCGATTTATTTTTTATACCAAATGAAATTAGATCTTATGATGTATGCTCGACGTTAATTCTGCGAATGAAAGGTTAAGACCGTCAGGCCTGTGCACCCATTCAAGTATTCATATTTAAATAGCTGTGATTGGTTTATATAAGCGTCATTGGAACTAGATAGCGATAGAAAACTTGTTAGATTACAATTGCGACAAAAAAATATCAGAAAAAATAATAAAAATTGTAATCTCATTTTAATTAGATTATCTTTTTTCACGCTTCCAATTGTATAGATTTTGGGTCCCAGTCAAGTGTGAAAAAAGTGTTTCTTTTATATACACTGATGCCTTGTTTTTAAGGTTCAACACTCACTAAAAGATCTAATTGTGTAACAACATGTTTCAGGTTCTGTTTTAATATTTCTTGATAATATATTGTATAAATAGATAATGCATATTGACCACTATTTTTCAGATGTTGAACAGAAGATGGGGACCTGCCATGAGGGCCTCGTGAACTCAGAACAGGTGATCTTGCTATGTGATCACACATCACATTTGTTTTTACATTAATTGGCTCTAAAATTATTGTCTTTTTACTGTATAATTTATTCATTGTTCAACCTGTAAAATGCCTTTTATTATATTTTTAACAGTTGTAATATTCAAAAGAAGTATCTCCTGTGAAATCTGTAATACATTGTACTTCCAAAATGAATTTCTACTTTTCTGGTACAATAATATTTTAAAATCTTGATAATCTAGATAAATGCCATCGTTTCCGGACAATTTCCCAGTTCGTGAAGTGAGATGTACGGAGCAGAAGGAATTCAATGGGAAACCATTTCCCTCAATACTATCACCTCAGTCTAAACATCACCTACAGTCCAACGACGATCTTGTCCAATGGTTAAAGGGAAATAATGACGTCTTCTACAACCTTCTGTTGAAATCTGGAGCCATCTTGTTTCGAGATTTCTCTATCGATTGTCCAACTGCTTTTGATCATTTCGTGAAATCATTCGTATTGGATCCTCTACGGTATGTTGGTGGTACTGCTCCAAGACGAGTGATAGTTGGTAATGTTTTTACCGCTTAATGAATCTCTACCGGATCAGCCAATCCGTTTCACCACGAAATGGCCCAAGTACCAATTTTCCCCAAAGTTCTCTTCTTCTACTGCGACGTTCCACCAAGCGAGGGAAGACAGACACCATTGGTCATCTCCAATGAAATCTACCGAGCCATAAACGAAAGACATCCGGAATTTTTCCACGACTTAGAAGAGAAAGGAGTAAAATATACTCGAGTACTACCTGACGGGGATAATCCTACGTCTTCCGAAAGCGGAAGCGGAAGAGAAATGTCCATTTCAGGGTACTTCCTTTGAATGGCTTCCTGGTGGGTGTTTGAAAACAGTTACAGCAGTTTTACCAGCAATTCGAGAAGATACCTGAACTGGCAACAAGACCTGGTTTAACTCGGTCATAGCAGCTTACACTGGTTGGAAGGACTGCAGAAATGATCCGGAAACCGCCATCTTGTTTGGAAATGGTGAAAAGATGCCGGCCGATGTGATGAAGGACCTGACAGCAATGTTAAATAAATTATCGGTAGATATCACTTGGCAGAAAGGCGATGTCTTTATGGTAGACAATCGCCAAGTTCTTCATGCCAGAAGACCCTTTACTCCACCTCGTACCATTTTAGCAGCACTTTGTAAATAAACTACCATAAACATTTTTGGATGTTGTCGAGAATTTTTCCATCTAAGATTATTTTGGTATATTTAGAGTGTGGTCAATTTATTTTATGATAACACCAGGTATCCAAACCCTTCTAGAGAGATGTATCAGAAACGACTCATCGCATGGATTTTGCAATTTGTAGGATATCTTGTCGGATATTGCTAGTTGTACTCTGTATTTGATGTATCTAAATGTAGATATTTGTCCATGTCAACTTAGGGTTTATTGTACTCAAGGTTTCAACAATTTACATGGTCATTAATGGCGACAAGATAAATTGTTAAAGCGCTATTAAATAAAACACATGGGTAGTATACCCTAATATTGTGTTCAGTTATTTAATGTGACCCTAACCCAAAGTGTCGTTTGAGGATAATGTTTGGAAAAAGTGTATCACCTAATACAACCCCTTCACCAAGCTCTTGAGCATTCCCCACGTTCTTCCTATGACGCTTCAAATGTGTCTATTTTGCCAAATTTAATGTTTTGTACATCGGAAAATAAGGGTATTCAATTAATCTAGAAGGGAGAGAGATCAAGACAACCTTTGTCTTTGTATTAATTTGTAAACCATAGTGGTGCAGCATGGACTAGATAGTCACCTTAGTTGGCTCGACAGGCAATAAATGAATAACATCTCATCGAGATCTGGGGGGTGTAAAATTCCGAACTGTCCGAATTGGGTCAGAAAGACATAAAACGAGACTCAATTCTGTCAAAGACCGTGCACAAATTTGGGAATGACGACGAATGAATAATTCGAAACAATTTTGTAGTTCGTGTAGGGTCATTGTACTTATTTTGACGATCAAATGATATGATTTAATTATTGAGTAGTTATTATCACCATCAACGGGGAAATTGATTGACAGGGAGAAATCTATACATTCTGAAAATGGGGGTAACCCAGAATCCTGATAATGGGAATTGATAGAACCTCCTGGAACTTCTAATATTGCTCTCAATTCCATGGGCATGATGGGTTATTTGCCAGTGACCACTAATATAAATATTATAAATGTTCTAAAATATTTGAGTCATTCTGTCCCTTATTTGTACGACTCGTCTCGATCGTACGCCTATGTTGAAATTGGTATAGCTCTTTCAGTTTTCAAACGATTTTCGCAATTTTCGATTTTCGTACGCAGGCCTAAATGATCTAACAATGAGGATCTCGTTTCACGATCCACTATCTTTAAATTTACTGTGGTTTAATCTGTTCTTTTGCAATCATATTTGTATCTTTTTCACTTTTTCGTCCCAGAATTTATTGCCACATTTATGTCAAAGCTTTTCAGTAAATTTTCTAATTATCTTCTTTGAGGGTAGCCTGATTTAGGCCTAAAACTTGAGTAATGGTGAATTTTATTCTAACAGTAACGCTATATCCCTTTAAATTTCGGGGTAATATTTGGCGCGAATCTAGCAATCATGTTATTTGTTCTGTCAAGAATTAAAGGTCCCCTTCCGTGTAATTTACTTCACAAACATGTGAATTTGGCAATTTTTTCCCTCGGTAACTTAACGAAATATACTTTATTCGTTGATCCAAAGATTTTTGAACAGGTTTTAGACTTAACAAAGGATTTTTAAGTCCAGTACCTCTACTCAAAATTCTTTCAACCAGCGACTCTGAAATATTGGTGGATCTTTACCTTTAATAATTTATCAACTTTCACCAAATTGACGAGAAGGTGACAGTTTAAAACCATCAGAAACTCAAAACAATTTTTTGGCGGGAAGAGTTGACACGTAGAGCACGTGGATACAGAATGTTGGCTGTTGATTGGCTGAAATTCAAATTGTCAGTCAAAAAGTGGGATGAGTTTAACGTAAAATCATCGTTTGCTTATCCAAAGGTCCGCATTTCTGAGCGGGATTTCGGTAATATCAGTTGTGACTTATGACTTATGATATATTCTGTATTGGATTTTGGATGGTTTTGAATTATTTGTAGGATTAAATATTATCGGTTAGTTTGGACTTTTCTCAATCTAGATTCTTACGCGCGTGACCTTGAAAATTTAGACCCAATGTCACGAGAATAAATGACAAATATAAGTTATTTCATGACTTTAAAAATAACATGGAAGATATCAGGAGTATCATTATGGCCATCTTTTGTTTTTATTTATATTTTTCACTGGTATTTAAATTACAATTCAAGAATCATTCAGTTTTATGATACTAATCAGAACCTTTACATACCGTACTTCATACGTTAAAAAGTGCTATACAAAATTTTAAACTGCTGTGCAATTTAGGCCCATAGAGCAAAAGACTTATGCAAATAAAAAAGTAATTTATACCCTTCAGAGATGAGGGTAGTCTAGTTTAGGATTAGGGGGTGGAGGTATTAAAGAGATGGTGGCCTATATTTGTTGTTTTAGAATATGGTATTAGGCGGTCCACCTTAGGTGGGGACGAGGATAGACAGGTTTACAATTAAGGGGTGGGGATGTTAAGGGATGGTGTCCTATAATTGTTAGTTTATGATAAGAAATTAAGGTAGAGATGAGCTTGCAAGCTTCCTATTGTGAGAATTCAGATTTTTGTGATTCATGAGAAAAGTATAACCGCCCATTAATGCTAAGTAAAATTTTACTTTTTGAAACAATTCACAAAACAATGTTGTTTGTATTCTAAAAATTATTATTCTTTTTACAGTGACAGCAGTTCACAGAAGTTATTAGTATGCAAAGTTTTAAATTGCTTTCGACAAACAGATCTTTATGGTGAGTTTTTTTTATAATTAACTTTCTGTTTGTTTTTTAAAACTACTTGAATTATTTCTCAGGTATTCCAACTGTTAGGCCTAGGTTTAAGCAGGAGGTATCTTGTGAATTTTTGTGAGGGTGACATGATTCAAATGTAGATGTTAATGTTAAGTTTCTTTTTTTTTGCAGGTGAATCCACTAACCCTGATTTAACAAACTCCATCTGTATTTGGTGATTGTGTTTAGAATGAATGACCATCCAGAGTTGTCATAATTTATGCTAACCAATCCAAAGTACTTTTAAAAATGGTAAGACACTACATCTACTAGTCCATTTAAAAAAATAGATACCCTGCAATTCCTGACATAACAGCAAGGAAATCTTATATGGTACACAATATTTGATACATACATTACTTGTGTATTAGTGGGTTGAATACTGAATGGCCCAGAACAGGACATGAATAACAAATTTGTCAGATCATGTATGCTAAGTGGAGTCACCTGCATAAAATAATAGGAAAAATCCTTGTTTTTGCTATTTAATTTGAATAAATGATTTATTACAGGTATGAAATCTTCTCATCAGTTAGAAACTTGATAGTCTATAGATATCAAATTATGTTCCAGTGTTTATCAGTCAACAAACTACCTTGCCCTCCAAGATTGATAAGTGACCATTTCTTTATTCAATCCACCTTAAGGGATGTCCCTTGTGCCACAGGTTGTGCATACTGTTTTCGTTAAACCAATCAGGTACAGAAAAGTATGACTTAAAACCCCATTTCATATTATATCTATATACATACTGAAAGGGATGCAGTTCTATAATTGTTTGGTAGCGAAATATCCCTTTATTTTTTCTTTATTTAGTAAATTTTACATTCATTTTCTATTTCAGATATTGAATGTTGTCAGTTTAATTATTGAAATACAACACGTGTTTCAACATCTTGATAATTGGTGAGTTTCTCTTAATTAAGTTGATATTTTTGTAAAATATTCCATTTGGACCAGACTCGCTGACAGTAACACCAATATTCTACTTGTAAACAATAATTTTGTAGAGCTGAGCTCTTTATTCTGAATAGTGATAGGAATAGTTGACATTGATCTCTATCAGCTGGTTTTTTAACAAATATTTAGACAACTTGATCTTTTTAAAATATTTAATATTTCGCTACTATTGTTTGACTCTTCTTGAGTCTCAAGAGTCATTTGTATGTATGATATAGGTAGATCAATTCATGGCCTAGTTAGAGCAACCAGAAAACACAGAATTCTTGCAAGAATTGCATCTGCTGGATGTTGAACCTTTTGCTGGGTATAAACCACATCTGTAAGAATGCCACTTTTGAAGATCATATCCAAATTTGTCACAGAGAGCCACACCATATGCTGCATCTGTAGAAATGCCATATTTTGCTAATCATAGGCACATTTGTCGCACAGCTACATTCTATGGGGTACCATGTTTGTTGGACACAAGTGGAAATAGAAGGACAGGGCCACTCTTTCTGGGAGTATGACACATTTTTCGACACAGCCATGCCTGATTGGCTTTTGATGGATAGTCACTTTTGCTGAGCATAAACAACAGTTTGTTGAATTTTTCACATAAGTACCATGTTTGTTGTACAAATGTTGAAATAGAAGGACATGTCCACTCTTTTGGGGAGTATATCACATTGTTCAGACAGAGTCATGCCTGATTGGTATTTTATGGAGTACCATTTATGTACCAAATCTTTTGAAATGACTCATTATAATAACATTTTTTTTTACTTTATAGGAGAAACAAAGTAATACCTTTTTATACACCCACATGAAATGGGGGGGGCGTATATTGCCGTCACCCATGTCCGTTTGCCAGTCCGTCCACAATTGCTCGTAAACACTCTACAAGACACAATTCTTGACGGATTTTGACAAAACTTGGTATGAGTGTTCTAATCACCCAAGGATGAACCCTATTGAAAATCAGAAGAATCGAAAAATATTTAGTATAAGTTATTGCCCTTGTTCTTGAAAACGCGTTCAATTTTTAGCTCGTAAACACTCTAGAAGGGACAATTCCTGATGGATTTTAACGAAACTTGGCATGCATGAGTGTTTGTAAACACCCAAGGATGAACCCTATTGAAAATCAGAAGAATCGAAAAATATTTAGTATGAATTATTGTCGTTGCCTTTGAAAACGCGTTCAATTTTTAGGTTGTAATCACTATAGAGGGCACAATTCTTGACGGATTTTTATGAAACTTGGTGCAAATGTTCGTAATCACCCAAGGATGAAGAATTGAAAAATATTTAGTATGAGTTATTGCCCTTGTTCTTGAAAATGCTTTCAAATTTAGCTCAAAATTTTGATTTTTACAAAACTTGGTTTTATTATTCAGTCCTGCGCTGAAGATTGAATATTTGCCTTCTAGAGTTTTCACGAGCTACAAATTGAACACGTTTTCAAGAACAAGGGCAATAACTCATACTTAATATTATTCAGTATTGCGCTAAAGAGTTCAAAAGAAGTGTATGAAGGTCTAATACTGCTAAATATTTTTATTCAAAATCCAAGCTGCCAGTGGGTGTATATTACCTTGCCTGGCAAGCTATCTTTGTAAATTGTAAACAAAGTAAATTTAGGTCGTGTGTATTGTTGTAAGTTTATTTCATTTGTGTTGATCAGGCCACTAATCTCTAATTTTCTTTTAACTAATTTTATCAGTTTCATTTTCTTTCAGGAATGATATTGTGATGACATTTGTATCTGAAACTGATGGTCTACTTAAGCTTTTTGCTATTTCAAGTAGCCTACTAGGTATTTTTCAACATGTTTACATATCTTTTTTGATTGGCCACAATTTGATACAAATGTTAGTCCCAATATGGTCTTTGCGCGGATTCTATATGTACCAGACTACCAGTATGATGGTGCAATGGATGAGAGATGGTGGAGCAAAGACCGCTTTGACTATTTTGTGGCAGGTTATTTATACTTCCTGTCCAATTTCGTCATTGTGGTTTATGCTTTTTTTACAACGTTGTCAGCAATTTTTTAAAGTAGTAAAATCACAGGCTGAGTTCAAATTGTGTTTTGGGAAGGTTCTAATTATCCTCTTTCAATATGGTTTATGTTTTTGGATGATCTTCACCTGTTCTTATAAGCTGCATTCATTTCAAAAGGCATGGTTCAACTGGTTAAAGGCTTTCAATCCTATCCTATGCAGATTGGATACATTCACGACCAATTTGACTGTTTTGTGGTATATTTTTGTAATAATCTTATGCCCAATTTAGTCAAAGTGGTTATTCTATTATTTCTACTAGTTATTCAAAAGCTATAGACAGAGAGCAGTGGTGATAAGTTTTTTGGCAACAGGATTGAAATATTCATCTATTTAGCAGTATCATTCACAAATTTCGAGTGTTTAGAGGTGGGAAGTTGTTGCTATTGTAAAGTTGTTAATTGATAAAATCTTGTCTAAAATGAAAACAGGCAAATGATCTGTATGCTATGATTCTGTATAGAACTTTCTTACTTTCTAAAACTTGAGTTGACCAAACGACCAAAGAAAACATGAAACGACAAGGAAACTACCAAAGAAAATGTGAAACGACCAGGAGCCAAGCCGAAAAAAATGACCAGAAAACAACCTCAAACTATTTTGTAATGAATTCTAAGCATGCTAATCAGGCCAAATATGTATTTCATTTTTCAAAATTATACATAGTAGTCATCAGTGGAATTTCAAGAACAACAGACGTCTGATTGAATGTTATAACTTTGAAGATAAAATGTTACAATTTGTCTATTACACAGTTTTGGGATAGTATACAGTTGCCCTTGTGTTATGATACATGTCTTAAAGTAGAATGATTGCCAAGCAGTGTAATATAATTGAGCACTAGATCACATTCTAAGGAGACGGCTAAGGCCCATCTACACAGCAAAACAGGTTTACAACTTTTGTAATATATTCCTTGTCAGTTTACACAGTATATAAAGTTGCTCCCAATTTGTTTACATAAATTCCCGCCAAAATTGAGAATGACCTTTCAAGATTTAAACTTGTGCTCCCAATCGTCAGATATAAAAGTTGGACACAGCTTGCTGTACAGAATAGAACATGTGAAATATACTTCTCCTGGAAACTGTATTAATACAGTGTTACAGCCCTGTTTACACAGCAAATTTTGCTTTATAAACCATGGTTGATACAACTTACCGTGTAAATGGGCTTTAAATATGTTAACCCCTATTGGTACAGACAACACTGACACAAGGGTCACACTTGTCTTTATGTTTTCATAATAATAATTTTTATTAGAATCATAGTTTCTTTGTCAAAAATGACAATTTGACCTTAACGTGTTTTAGGTAATGCTGCACATCAAGGTTTATGACCCTCGTTTAAGATCCTCAAAATCTTGATGTATGGAAGTAAAGGTAGGTTTATTCGAATCATCTGTCACCCTCTAGCAGTTTTAAATACTTAGTGCTATTGAAAAAGAGCAGGCTAATGCTGCTGTCCTGACAAAATTTCCCTCATTGTACCCTGCATGGCGTTGCCCGTCTTCAGTAGCCCAGATGGTGAAGAAAAGTAGGACGTAAAACCCCATTCATTTAGTAAAATTGTGCTAATCACTGAATTATTTACATGCCTCAAACTACAAACAATCGGCAAGACTATGATTGTAAGGCTGAAAACATTGGTTGGAAAAACGCTCATATTATAATGAAAACCTTGTCTGTCGGTTTGCATTTTTATCCAATCTTGATGAAACTTGATATTGATGTATATATTGATGAGATCTCGGTTAATTTCGAAATCGGTGATAATCGGATGAAAGGTTTCAGAGTCATCGCAGTTGTGTGTACAATGATGGAACTTTGTTCATGATTGAATTTGATTATAATTTGGATTGGATGAACTGTTTTTGAGGTTTTGCCTTGACTTTAAAATATTTTAAAGATTATTTGAAAATTCATTATAAAGTCACTAACGACTTAGTTATCATTTTTGACAGCTGGTAGTGGGCGTATGTTACCTTGCATGGCAAGCTATCTTTGTAAATGCTACAGTTATAATCGGTTTTGGGCGATTTAATTGATAAGATGGTCGTGTTGTACTTCGTACTTGTATACATGTATTTGTTTTGCAGGTATTGGATACATTGCTGCCAGAGAAATAGCTCGTATGGGAGGTCATGTTATTATTGCTTGTAGAAATATGGGTAAAGCCGATGCGGTAAGATTATTGATTTAATTTAAACTTTCAAATTCGTTCATAAATGAAATTAAGATGACCACGTAAACACCAATATTTATACCGCCATTTGAATCAGGTTTGATTTAGATGATTTAGTCTATTGTTCAGACCAGTGGGGGAACAGTCGTCCCCCTCGCAGCCCCAAAAGCAAGTTTTTCAGGCAAAAATCTCATAAATAGAGGGATTGGGACGTAAACCTAGCTCCGCCACTGGTTCAGACGACTAAAGTTAAGGCATTTTAACTATCGACTGTTTTTCGTTCCCGGTCTTTTAGTCGTCTGAACGTGACCGGTTAAACTTAAGCTGTCAGATCGCTATGTTTGCTGACGACAGCACTTTTTGGGGGAATGGTACGTTATATACGAACCTTCAAATGCGGATCCAAACATGTTTGGATCACTTTGCAAAGTGGGCAAACGACTGGGGATTCAGAATATCCAAAGCCAAAACGGTAGGAATGTTGGTCTGTAAAGAACCCCAAGTGACCGACATGCGACTAGTATTGGACGGCGAACGTATTCAATTCGTTTGTGAAACCAAGCTACTTGGTGTTACCTTCGATAGAAAACTCTCATGGGTACCTCACATTAATCACAAACAGATGCCAAATTGTGCTGAACCTAATGAGGAATATATCTGGCAATGAATGGGGCGCCAATGTTGTGACGCTCATGATCTATCGTGCGCTGATCCGGCCCATCTTGGACTACGGTTCACAGGCATTCATGACCGCCAGACCAATGCTCCTTCATAAGTTAGATGTGATACAGCACAAAGTCCTCCGACTAGCCACCGGAGCAGTCATCGGCATAAAAACGGAGTCATTACTCCAAGATGTTGGTGAGGTTCGTCTACAAATCCGCAGAGAGGAGTTAGCCCTTAGATACTGGTCAAAGTTGAAACACCTTGGAGAATCATCTCATACCTACCTCGAGACCGCGAAGTTCAGGCACGCCAAAAAAAACGATAAGCTTAGGACAGTCAGTTCGGGATTCCGTTCGGAAGTATGGGCTAGATAGGTTGCCCATAAAGCCTCTTGTATTTTCCCAAGTTGCTCCTTGGACGGTTTCGCCCCCCACTGTCGACACCTCTCTCGCCTCGAGATTGGATAAGAAACGGGACGATCCTTGCATCGCTCGAATGATCGCCTTAACTCATATGGATGCAAGGTGGTCGGAAAGCATACGTATCTATACTGATGGTTCACATAACCCGGATGATGGTACAACGGGCTTGGGGATCTACGTCCCCTCGAGCAGCACAAGAATTAGCAAGCGATTGCCCAATAACTGCTCAGTGTACACCTCAGAGATGCTTGCAATCCTTTGCGCGGTGAAATATTCCGCGGGCCACTATCATTCAAATTATGTAGTACGAAGCGACTCGCTAAGTAGCCTGACATCGATACTCAACGATTCCTCTAATTCCCAAGCGGAGCTAGTGGATGAAATCAGGCAAGCGTGCTCACTTGTACATAGTCAAGGCAAATCAATCGAGTTGGCATGGATCCCGTCTCATGTCGGCATACAAGGGAACGAAATTGCAGATGAATTCGCAAAAATAGGACTAGGGCTATTGGAGATTGACCGGATAGACTACAGTTTATCCGAAATAAGAAGCATGATCACAAAAAGCATCAAATCGACATGGGAGGCAACTCCCATAGATGCTAATGCATTTCGCTTCCGATTAAACGATAGCATTAGTAGTAAAGTGTTTTTACACCACCCCAATCGATAGATCTGTCGAACGGTCGCCCGTCTGAGAATGATGGGTGAGGTACGAAATCACAAATCATTGGGGCGATCATTGGGGACTTAATTCTCGATAGATCGCCAAGAAGAAACACAGAAGAAGAACGCAGTATCAAGACTACAGAAGAAGAATCAGAAGAAACCATGGGAGCAACCCGTTCCCTACTCAACGTCTGCGATTTGGAACTTTTCCGAAGCGGACACCATCCACCAACAAGAAGAAGAAGTGTGTCTAGTTTACACTCATGCAAGTTCGTGATTTGTTTCCTCAATAAACTAATCTAAGATGTATTATACATGTATATGTGTAACGGTGGTACTGGGGTTGGATTAATAACTATAATCGTAGTTTTTAAACCTTTAATAAAAACCCTAAAAGAACCCATGTACAAAATATTAATATACAATTAAAAGGAACATTGTGCTGGAAACTAAGCTACTTAATTACATATTATATATAACTGGTCTTTATAATTGTATAAACTAAGCGGAACATTAACTATAGCTATATACGGAAAACGATATAGCAGGAGATATTTTTCAAATTACTTTATAAATAGTCACTGTATTTAAACACATATATTACAGACTAAATAACCAAAATAATAACCTACCCTAAGAGGGGTTTAAAGGATACTTATTACAATTAGTTACTTCTATTGTAACATCTAATTATATTATTCTGAAAATGATGATTACATTATTAAAACCTTTTCTTACTACATAAGAACTAAAATAACGTATGCTAAAATAATGAATAGATTTAATAAGCCGGACTCTGACATGAGTCAATATAAATAGCTATTATGGCAAATCATACCCTTCCAAGACAAAACCTAGATGAGATAAAACACACATACCTGTAAGTTGCTGAAGATAGCAAAGTACTAAATATAAAGGTATTCCAAAAATCACCAACAAGGAAACAGATTGATATAGAGATCAATCTAAGGTGTTGTTGATATCTAGAAAGCAATAATATGAATAAACAAGGAAAAGTTTGGATGGTTCCAAGAGATACAGAAATTGACCCTAAGGACCTTCAAATTGACCAACCAGAAGCCAGAAAGTACACTGAGACATTGTTAGTAAAGTGACATCAATTAGTAATAAGTTTAATCAGTGCTCAGGTGAATGAAGTAAAACCTAGTAAACACATCTAACCTTCATAATAATACACAGGTCAAAAACACAGGTCTGCTACATATGTATAAACTAAATTAATTTTACAGGTGCTGTGAACCATAATGTACCGACGAAAGGAGCAAAATCAACAGAAGAGGGAGAAAGTTTATACTTATCTGGATATGTTACTGGAGTTGAATACAATCGAATCAGTCCAAATATATCTTACTGCTATGTAAAGGCTATTGTTGCTCGACAAATGGCACAGACACAAGCACCATATAGTGTATGGACAGTCCTTCAAAAGAGAACGGGAAAAGTGGAAAGAGCTTACTACAATTGTCCAGCAGGTCTACGAGGGTATTGCAAACATTCTGTTGCCTTGTTGCACTTTATTTTTAGGCAAATAGAGTCGGGATGCAACAAAGCATGTACATCCCAAACAAACCACATGTTCAAGGGAAAAGGGTTACACAACCTGACTTTGTAAGAAATCTTGTTGTGAAAAAGGTTACAGGTAGATTTGATACTACTCAAGAAGATTTTCAAACTCGTGGAAAAAAGTCTCGATGGACATTTGGAACCCAGAGCATTCTGCTACCGCAAGGAAAAAACATTATCAGATTTTGACTTTAATAGGCTAAGGGTTATAACAAATGGAAATTGTGGTGTACTTTTATATTCTCCAAGAAGCAGTGATGAGCAAAATGCGGTTAATCCTGATATTGAAAATATTTACATGGAAGAGGAAGTTGAAACTGTCCCTAAAATCTTACATGGTCTTGATAACGAAATTTTAGAATCAAAGGAAAACATTAATGCAAGTGATTTTGTGAAAGAACTCATGTTAAATCTTAAAGATTCAACAACAGAACAAAGTATTGACTATGTTGTACGTCAAACCTGTACACAGGCTAAATCAAAAATATGGTTTGATAACCGAATTGGACGCGTCACTGCATCAGTAGCACATGAGTGTTGCAGAAAAGTAAATGAAAATGAACAAGTTTAAGACAAGAATAATTCTTTAGTAGCAAAAATTTTCAATTAAAAAAGTGCACCAGCCAATGTAAAGTCTTTTAAGTGGGGCAGAGAAAGGGAATTACCGGCAATTACAGGATATGAAAAAAATATTAAGATTAAACACCAAAATTTAAAGGTTCAAAGCATAGGGCTTCATATTTGCATGGAAAATCCTTGGTTAGCAGCCACACCGGTATGATTAATTGTGATTGTTGTGGATTGGGTTGTTTGGAGGTTAAAAATCCAGAAAAATTTAAAAATGACACTATTAAACAAATTGCAGCCTCAGATCAGTCTTATTTGAAATATTCAAATAATGTACAAGCCAGTCTCGACAAGAATAATCAGTAGGCCTATTATGCTCAAGTACAAATCCAGATGTTACTACAAATACTCAATACGCTGATTTTGTTGTAAAAACAATTGCAATAGATGACAATATTTTTATTCAAAGAATTGCCTATGATGACAGGTTTGCCACGTCCTCAATGGGCCTCCGTACAAAAAGTAAGGGAGACAGCAATTTGGTGATTTGATATTTCGAATAATGACAAGTGTGAGATAGTATGGTATGAATTTCAAAAAGTTTCTATGACGGCTAAGCCTTTTAATTTGCTGTTTAACTTTGGTAAGTTTCAGCTTTTATAAAAAAAAATTTATGTCTTAAATGGGCCACAGTACAAAGACTAAGAGAGTTAGACATATAGGTGTTTGCGAAATTGAAAGAATTCTTATGTGTATTTGTCATAAAAAAATTAGTTATTTTAACAATACTTCAGTTAGAAATAAGTCGATGTGTATGCTGAGAGTATTCGACCCGAATGTATATGCTAAGTTCAGCCTGTCAAATTGTACCATTTGTTATTCAATACGGTTAATACAACAGCAAAGCTGGTGTAGTTCCTCGATTAATTATTCGCCTGTATAATATTGGTCTGAGTGGTCCAAGGGACACAACTCTATATTTGGAGATTTTCAGATAAGAAGGTTAAGAACTGATAAAGAGGTCAAGACGATACGACCATAGACATACTATTATAGTATGCGACTTCACGATTAACATGATAAACGGTTGTCCTTCTTATCACTTCATCTGTGATGTTAAACCCTGAGAACCCACGACACAACATCGCCTATACAAAGAATTACAATAAGAATTTCCTACTGTTTTTACGAAAGATATACAGAACGCTATACCCGAATCTTAGTCTGTGGTAGATAACCCCTCCTTCCTTAAATTTAATAGCCTACATTTCCCTATTCGCCATTCATGATATCTTATCAATCGATTAATTTGTCCTCGGCATTATTTTCCCCAAATATCTTTTATCAATTATCGTGCTATAGTCAGGTTTGTAAATTATGATCTTTGTTTTTAAACGTGCACTAAATATGCATTTTATCTTCTAACTTAAAGTAGCATTTTTAGCCGAAAAAAAAATATTTATTACAATTTCCATAGATATTAATGTTCCTGTTGGAACCATTTATCTTCTTATATTTTGAGATTCTGAAGAATATGGACTTCATTTCATATATTGAAATTATATTATATTATTCAAACTAACTGCACAAACAAAACTCTCTCACTAGAGGTTAAGCCTGCATGTCTGTGTCTGTGCTTTCGTAACATTACTTAATTGCAATGTTAAAACCTAAAATTCCAAATATCTTAAAGTATATATTCGAAAACCAGATTATTAGTAAAATTCACAAAGCTGGCGATAAGCAGTTTATTGTCAGCATAATAAAACAAAAACAAATCTATAATTAATACTGATAGGTAAACAAAGAGTAACAAAACAAATGCATCACGAGGTCTATATCAAACGATGAATTCAAAATTAGTCTCTGAAACCAGTTGTGCTTTGACAAAGTGGTATTAGATGATAAAGGCTACTTCAAAAACTTGTATTCCGTTCAAGAATTTTGTTTTATCCATGAATGAGCTGTCCGTGGACTCCATTGAAAACATGTCGTTTACCCTGGGTAATATGATTACGAATTTCTGCAGGGTTTTCATGAAATTCACGGTTGAACTTATTCTTGATATCGGTTTTAGAGAAGCTGTCTTGTAAAGCTAAGAGACATGTTTGAGGTCTTGGAGTACCGGAACCGGGAGTCCAGTCAAATCTTGGATCAGATTTATAAGACATGTCGTGGTAGATGGGAAACTGGTTCTGGTAAGACGATCTGAAGCTGGCAGAACGTTTCAGATTGGACGGAACTACATTGGTAGATGAACCCAGGTACTCGTTACGGTATTCACTGCTGGCTGAAGCCGGTTGTTGTCTGAGTATCTGTAGATCAGTTGGATTACTACTAGAAGTCACTGGTTCTGGTACAGTTCGTGTCTGAATTGATAACCTAGGAGTTTGAACTCGAGGAGTTCCTGTACCAAAAGAAGGTTGGTATCCAGTAAATTCTTCACCAGATTCACCAGAAAGCTCATTTTTCTTGTCATATTCGGCATGTGTACTCGAATACTGGGTCGTGTCGACTTTATGGGATTGTAGTCTTGCCAATTCTGACTTTTCATCATCAGTCAATCCTCTTAAAGTTGTAGAGTTGATTTGGAAAGGAGTATTATTGGGATCCAAATGAGCAACTGTTACTTTATTTGAAAACTGAACACTCTTGGCTGTTCTTGGCAATGATCTCGAGCGGGTAGGGATTCTTTTGATGCTTTGATTTTCATTTGACATGACATTGAGTGGTTCATTTCTAGCAAACGGCAAAACTTCGTTATTTTGCAAGAATTTGGGGGTATTATAGCTGTCACTCATTGTACTTTCTTTAGAAATTAGATGACCTTCTTGGACTGCTGATCGAGCCGTTTGTGGTTGAGGTTGTATTTGTTTTGTTTGTTGGTGGCGGACGCCATGAAACGGTGCAGAGACATTCCTTGGTGTTTGTCGATCTTCACTTAATCTCGGTGACTTTCCACAAAACGTCTGGCTACGTCTGAGAAGTGCATTATTATCCATGCTCAAGGGTGTTTGTAAATACAGCGCATCTTCGTGAGATCTAGAAGTATCTGTTATGGCTGATCCAGCAATGTCATCTTTTGTCATAGCATAGGTCAATTTGTGGGGATCGTACGATGTTTTGTACATGTCAGCCCTTTCCTCGGCATATTTTCCTTCGTGATCATAGAAGGTTTTAGGAAGTTCCTTATTGTTAAGATGACCATATTTATAATTCAAGGAATTGATATCGTGGCGTGGAGTGTGCGCTTCAAGAACCTTCCATCTATTCTGGGCTTCCATCTCCTGGACACGATGTTCTCGAGCAGCTTTTGAGACCTCAAGGTAGCCAGGTTCTGGTTTTGGTGGTGAACCAGTTTGAGGGAACGGTGCTGTTTGGGGGACACCACTCTCTACAGATCGTTTTAGACTCTCAATCATTGGTTCTGATTTCCGAGCTTGGTCTATTTCGTGCCATCTAGTATCGCCTGCTGGTTCTTGAGGATAGTTAACATATTGTTTACCATTCCATAATCTATCTTCTTCAACTTCATTTTCTGTCATTCTCCTTAAATCATACAAAGTAATTTTAAATACACAAGAAGAAGAATAGCTTCGTCCGATTGGTGAACTCGGATTACGTCCCTTTTTTTTAATTTTAGAATCAGAGAATTAACTTATAGTATACAATCATCGAAGAAAATGCTCATGTATTACTTGCATCATGTAGCCTTAATGGATTTGAATGGCAATGTATTTAAAAATCCATTAAAACTACTATGATATTATACTCTCCAAAGAACGGACCTTGACATATCATTTTTCTTATCTTGAGACAGAAACCCATGACACCGTGGCCTTGATATCGCCCATCTCTACAAAAAAGACGGGTTTTTTAACCACGCGTCAGAGATATTAAATTGGAGCTAAAGTGGGACTGTCTATTGCAGTACCATTCTCAAAAGTACTGCGTCTTGTAAACAGCAATTTACCTTGATGTCGAAGGAAGATTGTTTTGAAACTGTTCTGACATTGTTGGTTTCTTCTCAGCTAAAGACAATCTTGCTATTCTACCTTCGTGTGGTCTTGGTGGATCGAATGTATTCGCGAAATGGGAATACTATAATAAAAAAAGGTGAGTAATGTTAAGAGAACTACCGTATTCTACACTTTTTTGGTACAATCACACTTTATTTTTTCATTTCTAACTTTCCGAAGAATCTTTGAAGATCATTAATTTATCTACTCATGTATAGTGTCTACATATTATTTGGTAGGAAACATGTTAACCACTTACCAGATTGTTATCGATTTCGCCAGTATTAGTAAAATGTTCCTTTTTATCTTCCAAGTTGTTTAATTTCATTGGATTACTAGGCCCTAATCCAGCATAATCCAATTGATTACTGGTTAGCCAATGTGATCTTTCTATATTTCTCATGGTATCTGCAGTCTTTTCAGAAACTTTATGTTCCACTGGTCTGTTTTGAAGATTTGGTGCCACAGATTTTGGTGGTGTTGGATAAAAGTTCTGTCGATTTCCATGAGTCTTTACAACCTGCAGGAAATGTAAATAATATATTTTGTTGCACACGAATATTTACAACCTGAATTATTTGAATAACCTGAATAATGGGATATTTACAACTTGGACTTTGTTAGTGGATTTGTGCATGAGTACTTACAACCTACAAGAAATGTAAATAGTTTATTGTATATATATTGTATTATATTAGACTATATAGTCCTTGTACACATATATTTACAACCTGATTTCTTGAGTATTTTCTCCAATGCAATAAGAGAGTTGTACGTATGAAATATTACGTGCAATTGCCAAGTCGAGTGTGACTGTGTGGCAGCTGTCTGTGGTCAAAACAGTGGTTTGTGATTACTTACTTGATCGAAATGATTTTCTCCTTGCCAATATAATGGTTTCTTCTCAGATTCTTTAGGAAGTGTTAGAACTTCATGCCTTATACCAGCACCTATAATATTTTAGACATGTTTTAGACATACAATAGTACCAGGAAAGTTTTTTTTGGTCATATTTTGCACAATCTTTTAAATAAAGCGATTTAATATAATAACTCGTTATTACTTTAAATCAAGATCACATTATGAAAATTGGACCACATATTTAAACAATTTACTACATTTTACATAAAAAACTCCTTTAACTCATTTGAAAACTTGTGCGTACTTTTTTCTAAAATCTTAAAAAATATAAATCTTCATTTTCCCAGTGCCAAGATATTTCTAAGTCAAAATTCTTTGAAATAATTTACAAATTGTTGAAATAACGAAGAAAAAAACCTTTTGTTTTGTGTAAAATTTGTACATCATAAGAGTTGGCTGGTTGTTCAGCATGAATTGGTTGTCTTGTTTGTCCAGCAACACCTCGTATAGGATCCTCTGGTGAGATAAAGTTAGGAAATACAGCAAACCGTGATATATGAGAATCATAAGGATGTTCTGCAGGAAATGATTTGTTGATGAGAAGAGTCCTAAAATAGAGAGACAATACAATAAAACATGGTTTAACTGCACGGACTGAAGTGAATGAATGTACACTTATAACCTTTACACATTTCTTAAATGGATTATAAGAGGTTTTCTAAATTTTGTATGGTATGTATATCGGGAATAATTATAGCATCAATTTGCACCATTCCAATCGGACGTCTGTAGTTTCTGCAATTCCACTGAAACAAAGTGCTTGGTGAATTTGAAAGGTGGAAATTGATGCTATAAGTGTCCCGATATATATACAAAAAACGTGTTTACAATCATTGATCTGAGGAACATTCTTCCTTTAATCGTGTAATTTTGAGGCATAGCAAATGAACTGTCATAATTTATGCAAGCCAATCCATATAACTAAAAAAGTGGTTATCACTAGAATTTTACAGCTATAGATAAGAAATCTGTTATTGAACAGGGCATTTGATTGGTTGAATATTTAATAATCCAAAACAAGAGATGCATTACAATTTCATCAGTTCATATTTTATCACAGAACCATTAATCATTAACCATATAGGTAGATAAATAGATTTGATAAAATATAAAGGTGTAATGAAAATTAAATGAATGCCTATAATTGTGTTTCTTACCCCATAACGGTAGCTTCTGGTCGAGGTAACCTGTAATGAATATAAATATGATATTTGTATAGTGATATGTGTACATACACTCTATGACCTGTTGGTTGTAAATCATGGTATTTGTATATAAAATATATTGTCATATTATTGTAAGGAGAATGATATCAACATATTTGTACAAACACTCATTAAAGGTCTATATCCGAGGTTTGATCAAATGAATGCGATTCTGAAACTAACATGAATATATATATATCAAAAGATATATATGATAATACAGCTGCGGCGACCTAATTATCAACGTAGGATGTATTCGATATCAAAATTGTTGACTTTTGTGAAGAGAGTTGTGGCATAAAAGGAGTGGGAGGTGGGAGGGGAAGGGGGGCAGTCAGAGAATACAAGATGACTTACAGTTGATCATTGTCACGAACGTTACTTTTCTTTAAGTCAGTTAAATCATAATATTGTTCTATAGGGATGTCTCTGAAATGAAAATCAGCAACATACAGGGGACATCAATATAACGAGACCCGATACAATTACATTGGATTAGTGCTAATTATCAAAACATATAATTTAATAAACGTAAAGCATAAAGGAATTGCATCCTGTCGAAACTACGGTACATAAATTATTGCATATTAACTATTTGAAATAAAAACAAGCTACATGTAATTAAAACCAAAGGAAGGACAGATGTAAGGTCCAGAACTATTGCTCACTGATTCTAGTAAAGACAAACTAATCTCATGAAAATTGACTTACTGTTGATGCCATGTTGGTGTTCGAGGTAACCAGATATCCTGTTCACCTTTCCCCTTCCCAGTTCCCCATTCACCAGGAACTTTCTGAGGTTGTTCCGGATGCTTGAATAAAGGTAGAGAGGTCATTGTATATCACTGTATATAGAAATATGATTGTTGTTTAAATGTCTCTTCTGAACAATACCCGGTGTTAAAGCCCTATGTAGGTCTACACTAGTAACAAAATACTACAATGGTATATCATTATTAATGTATAGGTACAGGTAGCGTCCCCGGTTGCTATTGGAAACTGTTATGTAAAGGTAGTCGATAGCCCACCTTGGTTGATAACAAATCGTAAAATCTACAATGTGTAATACGATTATTAATAATTCAAGCGGAGATTAATAATGTCGACTGTTAATCAGATTTATTAGCTTATTATTAATGTACTGTTATGTTTATAACGAGTCCCCTTGTCTCACCTCATAATGAAAGCTGCGTTTAAACTGACAAACATATTTCGGACCGAGTAAAATGTGGCAAATAGAAACACATTCACTGTCATTGAATGAACAATAAAACTATTGGCTTAGAAAAATAAACTCTTTAAAAAATATGAGGATTCTGATCTCAATTATGAATTTGATACCAATAACGAAATTGTCGTGTCCTTGGAGCAAAGCTGTACCATGGTAAGAAAGTATCAACTGATTAAGACAATAATTTGTCGAAGATTTGACCATTAAATTTCACACACAAAAAAATTGAAATTCTATTGTGTAGATGTTTTTTCAAAGATCCTTTGAATAATTGGGGCTTATGTAGATTTAATGGATGATATATCACATGACGAAATCCTGTAAATTCAATTTATTGTCTCCAGTGTGAAATACGCCTAAAAACATACACATATATAGATTTGTCGATCTCGTTGACTGTCATTTGATATGATTTAAACATTTTCAATATAAATCATGGATTATGATAATCCAGAGGATTGTATATGTTGATCTTTTCTCGTATCTTAACCGTGTATTAAAAAAAAAGCTGAATTAAAAATTGATTTTAGCGATTGACCAATCAATTGACAACAATTTTTGATTGGACCATCTAAAATTTCGCATTGGAGTATGTTGAAAAAAAAAACAAATATGAAATTCAACCTCTGTATTCAAAGCAAATTGAAATTTGTTAAAAATAGCTGCAGTGGAAGAAAATAATCTCAGAGAGTATAATGATTGTTGTCTAATTCACAGCAATTAGAACATGGTTACGTCCCCTTAAGCACCATTCATATGCAAACAAAGTTTCTCAGTTGGTATACTTGTATAATTATAACATCTAAATTTATATACGCGCAACGACATTACTTAAACTTTCTATGCGGTGGACAAATCTTCAACAGTGGAAAACGTTCTTAAAGAGTTGAAGGTGAGCAGGAGACGTCGAAATTAGGCATGAAAATATGCTAGATGAAACAGTTTATTTCAGGGTCATGCATACATCACACTGGAAAAAAAACGCATAATTGATGTACATATTAATAAGCTTCACATGCATTTTGAAGCAATGTGCCGTGGAGAAGAATCAGAAGATTTGTAGAATTTCTAATAAAAAATAATACCAAATTGCAATCAATGGAAACGGGTCAATCCATAGTGCAATCATTGGGTTAGGGTGCAAGTTCGTATCCAGACTTGATTTTCGAGCCCTCCTGTAGGGAGGAAGGAAAGGGGGTGGGGGAGGTGAGGTGACTAATCAGTTAATAGCAAAGGAGTCTGGGAGGCGACTAGTCAGTTAAAGCACAAAAGATCATATAAACATCATACATATAGGTCAGTTTATATCATTTCAGATAATATAGCACCATCTCATATATAAGTCAATCAATAGCATCTAAGATAACATAGCACCATCTCATTTATAAGTCAGTCAATATCATCACAGATAACATAGCACCATCTCATTTATAAGTCAGTCAATATTATCTCAGATAATATAGCACCATCTCATATATTCATGTAAATCAGTCAATATCATCTCAGATAATATAGCACCATCTCATATATTCATGTAAATCAGTCAATATCATCTCAGATAATATAGCACCATCTCATATATTCATGTAAATCAGTCAATATCATCTCAGATAATATAGCACCATCTCATATATTCATGTAAATCAGTCAATATCATCTCAGATAATATAGCACCATCTCATATATTCATGTAAATCAGTCAATATCATCTCAGATAATATAGCACCATCTCATATATTCATGTAAATCAGTCAATATCATCTCAGATAATATAGCACCATCTCATATATTCATGTAAATCAGTCAATATCATCTCAGATAATATAGCACCATCTCATATATACATGTAAGTCTAATATCTCATCTTATATCTAAGCCAAAGTTATTCAATACCATCTCAGGTAAATCTCAAATTTAGAACCTTAAAGTCCCACACTCGCATCTGTAACATCACTAATGTTATCCCTAACATGGTCTTATCAAATTTTAACAAAATACATACAAGGAAACAACAGAAAGCATTACCTTACAGAAGAAAGGGGAAGCATTAGCAAAATGACACCAAGTCGTGTGAACTCTTCTCCACGTTCTTTGACTGCGACACATGCCTGACACAAATACAGAAATATCCCATTTCCTCTAAGTCTACACACGTTTGCAAATATTTCCATTTAGCAGTTAATTTAGAACCATGCTCGGTTTAGGTAATGATACAAATAAGCTGTCACTGGCCCGGATCGGTGCTTGCTGTTTACACCGGCGTCCTGTGATCTGGGCCAGGCCCACTTAGGCCAATAAACGAGAACAGGATAAGAAACCAATAACTAGTCTCATCCTTCCTTTTTTATTAAACAACTTAGCTTTGATTAGCCCATTTATGTATCAGAAATCCAAAAAGAAATATATTCTTTAAGAATCTTGTTATAAGATATAACAATCATTCTATAGATAAATGACCGGACTATCTAAAATTAGACGTGTTGCATTCATATTCTTTTAGACAGAATACAAGAATTTTTTTTTAAATCAAATATACCTTTGCGTAAACGTTACAACATTAAGTAACTGAACTCTGGGACAGTATGATAAAGACTGAGCTATATATTTTCATGTCGACTGGGGTGTCTTCTGTCGAATACATCTGTTCAGAAATTAGGTTCCAGATAACATTGACAATTAGAGTTCCGTTCAAATTGGCAACTTACAAAATATAACACATCTGATCAGAATATAAGGGAAATAGAAAACTCTTTGAACTTTGCAACAGCAAGAAACATGAACGTCCAGTTGCAGTATTTCAAGATAAATAACATTGCAGTATATGAGAACATGGTAGAATCAGAATAACATACATACCTTTAAGACTTGAAGTCTGGGGGGGGATATCAACTAAAAAATCTCTAAAAGTTTTGGCTGAATCTTCAGTCTATAAACAAATTTTTGGGGAACTTATTATGAACATTTATAGGTCAGATGAATCTAATTTTCAATATTGTTCTATGAACAGTTAATGAGTTGTTGCTTTTAAGATAAGAAATATGCCTTTGAACGTAGAACATTTTTTTAAATGGGAAAAATCTCTATATGGAT